AGGAAGTATTTCTTGGCTGACAGAGAAAATGCTTCATTTAAAATTTTTGTCTCTGGTACTTTATCCTGATATCTAAAGCTCCCTGGTACTAGTGCATGCCATGCCTTCACGATTGGCTTTTATCTGATTTTCTGTGCCTACATTTCTGAATTCTAACTGCTTATTTGACTTTGAATTTCATAGCATTCTAACTTTGCATACTCTAGCCTTTGTCTTGTTTGGTTGTCATGACTTGTTATCCTAATTCTATGACTCATAGGTGCATACAGGGTAGTCTAAGTCTTAATAATTTTTTTTTTTAAGTACAGATGGTGTATACTGTGCATATCTTTGACTAAGATTTCTTAAATAATCTAGTTTGCTGAACTAAAATTTTGGATATGCAAAAATTAAGAAAAAATAAGATTCCGTATAGTATAGTTTTATGCCTTTTTACATAATTCATCACACAATACCTCTTATCATAGGTGTGTATGCTCATGTTTAATTTTCAAACCCTTTATTAGAATATAAGCTCCTAAAGGCCATGACAATACCTTCCATATCTCTGTAGCTCTCTTAGCACTTCAGAATCAAAGTTTTAATTTAATTTAATAATTTAATTTAATTTAATTTAAATTTAAACTTTAAAGTTTAGCTTTTACCAGTAAGATAAGGATAAATCCCATTTTAAGGATTGTTGTGAGATGTAAGAGATATAAGATATTCAAAATACCCAATAGTATGCTTAGTACATAGCAGCTGCTTATTTCCAGTGCTTAAAGCAGAAGGTCATTAAATAAAAAGACATTGAGTGTAACAATTTATATAAAGAAAAAATAGAAATTAGCCAAAATCTCTAGTTTGATAATGATTCTGCTATCTACTCAAGGCTTCCACCAAATGCATTTCTCTGTCTACTTCTAAGCAACTGAGCATATTTAACTTTGGGATATAGCTCATGTTTCCATTACAAACAGACACAGGATAAATAGAATGTGAAATTTGGAAAGTGAGAAATAATAAGAAAAATGTTTTTATAAACGTAAGAACTTATTTTAAATATATTTAGAATATAATATCTTCATACATACAACTCATAAAAAGCCCAGAAATCAAAGTAATAAATGACCTAACACTAGAGTTTACTTTTAAAACGGTTCCTTTTTTTGCCCTTCCTGAACATATTTTTGCTTGTCCTAAGGTATAAGAAGTTATATATATATTAACAGTAAGATAGAAGCAGCTAAATTATTATTATACCAAGGTAATGAGTTATAAATGTGAATTGGTTCACTTATTTAGAAAATGGCTGGTGTTGTCTTCGCACTATACAATAAACAATGTTTTAAAGAATTAGCATGTATTAGTTTACAGCTGACAAATGAACAATGCATATGTTCATCATTCTCTCTATTGGAACAAAAACAAAGAGGATTTATTGCATAGGATTACAGACAGGATCCCAGCTGAAAACTGTGTTCTGATTAGAGATCATTAAAATCTCGTAAGAGAGTGAGGAAGCTTTTCCCGACAACAGTTTGATGTTTTGTACATTACTATGAAGCACATCATGAACTAGAAAAATTTACAGGAAATTATCATTCTGCAGGATGTTCCTGACTCTAAGGTGTTCATTCCTAAGTGGCCTGGAAAAGTTAATGTTCTCCCTATTTCTCTAACATTAGTGGAAAGTAATAGGATAGCTATGAAACTCTACTGAAAGGAAAGTTTTGATTAAAATTTTAGAATAATATTCCTAAGAAAAAAGTATATTCAAATTTCTAAAATAAAATTATTTTCTCCAGTCTACTCAGAGTTCTTAGATTAGGTCATTTCCTAGACTGATTCTCTGCAGCAGCGGTCCCCAACCTTTTTGGCACCAGGGGCCGGTGCTCCTAGGAGAATCTAAGGCCTGATGATCTGAGGTGGAGCTGAGGTGCTAA